CTCAGTTATGGCCTTTGGAAATGGAAAGGGCAGCATTTTTAAACAAAGGAGGTTTTGGTGCCCCAGAAAGTTCCTGTGAGCTCAGTTATGTGAGGATGTGGGAGTGTTTCCTGATAAAAACACAGCGGTTGAGTATTTTTTCTATTTTAATGTGTCACACTGAAAAATCGCTGACATGCTTTAACTCAGCAGGACTATAGTAATCATACTATGGAGGGTGTTTCCTACCTGTCTCTGCGTGTTGATGATGTGAACGATGGACATGTGTTCTGGATGACCCATGTGCTGGATGGGCGAGCCCTCCCACTGCCAGATTGGAGCCTGGAGCAGGTATTTTCTCAGTTCTTCTCTCTTCCAGCGCTCGTCACAGGGTAGCTACAGGAGGAAGATGCAAACAGCAAGTTAGCTGCTACTCATCCAGATTACTTCTTATGTGCAGCTGTATCCAGATGTGTAACAGCTGGTCGGTACCAGGTAGGACAGAGCACAGTGGGACGGGCTCATGGGCTGCGCCGTGGATTTGTGTCTCCTGTCGTCTATGTGCTGCATCCATTTCTGTAAGTCTGCAGCAGTGGCACACACGAACACCTTGGAGTCCACCATGGGGCCTGGATGAGAGAGGAAACAGCGTAAATCATGCTCAGAGCTTCACGCTGCGGAGCCACGTCTGAGCTGAACTGGTAGTTTCCACTGACTCACTGCTGATCTCAAACATGTGCGGTGAACGTGACGCGTCCGGCTCCAGGGAGACGGCTCGGAAAGAAAGTCCAGAAAGGGGAAGGATGCCCTGCAAGATAAGAGAGGACAGACTTAAAGAAATGAATGGTGGCTTCTTCCAGTAACGTTATTGTTCAGGAATTCCCAAACAACAAAAAACAACATCTATGAATGTACAGCCACTTGGTGCTCAGTCACATTTACATAGACCTTTTTATTTTTATTTTTTAATTTTATTTTTATTGTTTTTAGTATTTTTTAATTGTATTTATTTTTATTCTTTTTTTCATTTTTATTTTATTATTTATTTATCTTTTTTAAAAATGCTTCTTAAAAAGTAAAAGGAAATATGTGCAGAAAAATGTGCACAGTAGGAATGTTGCTTTTCTGCATATATTTCCTTTGCTTTTTGATCGACATTATAAAAAAGAACAAAAATAATTAATTAATTAAAAAAAATTTTAAAAACTGAAAATTTAAAAAAAAAATCATTAAAAAAAATAAGACAAAATAAATTTTAAAAAATAAATAAAAATAATTTAAAAATAATAAATACATTATTTTTATTATTTTATTTATTTGTCTTTATATTTCTACTTTATTATCCTTTTCTTTTATGGATCCATTTTTGATTAATATTGCTTTTTATTGCCACATTATTTATTTTTTATTTCATTTCTTCTTCTTTTTATTTCCACTTTTACTTTATTATTATTTTATTGATTTACTTCTGTAATTAGGCGCTCTCACTACTCCACAGTACGCTGTCTGTAAAAAAAAAAAAAAAAACAGAAATTAAAATGACACTATTTGTCATTGAGAAGTTGTTAAACAGAAAGAATTGTTTGATTTTCATCTCTTGAAGAGTCCTAAACATTTAATAAACACGGCAGAGCAGAAAGAACAACACAGAGGTGGTGGACTCCCAAACTCTCACATTTATGAAAGAATAAAGTCGTCTTCCATCTTCTGATAACCACCATCAGACACTTTAAAGGACTTCACAGTAAAAGAATACCTCGTAGATGAAGTCTTGTCTGGAGTGATCCAGAGAGAGGATGAGCATGTGGAAGGAGAACAAGACCAGGAAGTGTTCTCTGGTTTCCTGGTGAGACAAACACGAAGCAGGAATAAGAAGAAGTGTTTACGTCTTTGACCATTCACAACCATAAAGCTGATCTTTTATTTTTTCTACTACAAAAGCATCATGACGTCTGCCAGCAGGATGAAGAGAAGAGAAAGTAGAGAATCCTGAACAATAAAAACACAGAACACCAGAGACGACAACGATGTGATGAAGAACATCCAAGAACATCCTCCATCTACATATTTATTATGTTTTAGAGACGTCAGACAGAGAGATGTTTGAT